TCTGATTATTGGGGATCATGATTTAGGAGGATAGGTGACAGTACTTTTGTGGGTGACTTTACATCAACAAATTTAAAAGAATACATTATATTCCTCATGTATTAAATTTCCGATGACGAGTACAGTACAGTAATGCATTTTTAGATGAATTACAACTTCAGCATAGATTACAGTACAGTACTTTTATTATGCTGATAGTAATATACACTTACTCTGTCAACAAACTCATGGTGTTTACTGTATCACTATGATATTATTAACATAACATTGAAAAATATGATAATTTACCGTATCTTCAGCATTTTCCATACCCATAAAACTTTCAAATTTTATAAAAAATATCCAATACATAGTTAAAAATTGGACAACATGATAAAAGTCTTGCAGATTCAGAATGTTCATTTTAATTTGCTGTTGAGTAGATACTGCAGTCATTGAATTTACTTGGAACAGAGCTTTTCAAATTTAATGTCAATGTGTGGAATGAGATTATTATTCTCAAATACAATACAGTAATGTTTTATTTTCAACTGGTTGAAGTTGAGTATCAACCTAAACATTTACATTATTATTATCAATACATATACAGTACATATAAGGTTTTTTGTCACAGACATTATAGATTATCAATGAGAAATACTATGTAGAAAACATTCCTTAAGTAGGAACAGAGTATGGTAAGTGGAACATGAATTATAAAGAAGAATATTTTGTATGCTGCACATATTTCTCCTCATTAGCCATCTCACTAAACTTACATAGTTAATGATTTTTCCTATGATTAAAAGGCTATAAATCATAAGTATAATTAGTCTAAATGCTGCAATTTCTTTGAATGTCTATGTAATTCGTACTTCAGTTCTCTCCAAAATTTCAATGGTAAATCTTTTAGACCTCTAGACAATAATGAATATCATATTTTTGAAGTTTGGATAAAGAATTAGAGATTAGTTTTATCACTAACATAGGTTACCGAGTTTTGCAAAATGCAGTAGTCAGTGTACCGAGCATTGGCAAGTGTGTTCCTAAACTCTTGTTATCTTTGATAACCTTACTGAACCTCACTTTAGACCTTCAGAAAGTAGAAAACATTACTTGTAATTTATAATTCATAGCAAAGGTAAAAGTTTTTAGTCCATGTTATTCTCCATGTGATATAAATAGTGCACATTAAGTTATTCATATGTTTTTGTAACTATACTGTATATTGGGAAAGTATATTTTGTGCATCATCTAAAACATTACACTTCATCATATACAGTACAGTATGTTGTTTTGTCATGGCTGATTTGTACAACATGTAGATATTCAAAGTTTAGGCTGTTCAACAAAATGGTTGGTAATACTGTAGTTGAACTTGTCACAGTCATCCCATGCCCAGCCGTACATCTGTACCTTTGTTGTGTTGTCAGAGTTTGTTAAACTGGCCATAAATGTTTTTGTATACAATAATTGATATACTGTACCTGTATTAGCTGTATGGTGGACAGTTACTGTTATCAGCTACAGTTATTTGCTTCCGGATTTTGTACAGATAAAAGAGTTTATGTACACTAATGCCAATATCTCTGTACACCTGCTCACAAAGACAGCCATCAAATACTTATGTATGTTCTATGAATATGGAAGAATGGCTGGTTTTCACACATATTGTATGTTGTTTATATGTGAGAAATATTGTAATTATTATAATTATGTACATTAATGAACACTCATTGTCTCTCTTATAGGTATTTATATATCTTAAATCTGTAACAGAATGTGCAAGAATTTTTGTGATACTCCTATTGTTACTTTTTCCATTAAACTTTTGTGTGTGAGAGACAAAGCATGATAGGGTCTTCCTGTCCTCATAACTTAGCTTCAGAAAGGTCATTCAGCTATCTAATGCATCAAAGAATACATGTTCATGTATCCTGACTTAAGAAGGGACAAGTGCCCTGCCCACAGCACTGACCAAGGTGAGGATCACAGTTTGTTGCCATGTATATAATTATATGTTTGACTTGGATACCAGTCTGGTATAATTCATACCTCTGTATAAATGATAACTATCTGAGTTAATTATATTCTTGGTCTGAATATTACCTATGTTTTAGGACCACGGTGCTCTGAGATTACCTGATGTATCTTTGAATTTGACTAATGAAAAGTGTCAAGAAAATAAGATTAGTAATTAGTTTACATTTCATTTAAATGGTTACATCATTTCTGTTTGTAAGAAAATCCGCTACAAATACTGTTATTATTATTATCAGTAACTTGACATAATGTCATCAGTAAACAAAATTATGGATAGAACAATTACATACAGTACAGTATTAATAAGCTACACTACCAAGTGGTGCATTAAAACAGTATTAATGATGTGCAGTATATAAGGGCATTAATACAAGTAAGTTTAATGATTCATTCAAGCAATTTGAAATACCTGTATGCTGTTTTATCTTTGATTTTCTATGTTATATTTGACTACAATGTGGAGTGGCAACCTACAAGGAGAGGAGAAAACCTTCTAGTTCTGAGACTCACTTAACATAATGGAAGGAACTCACTTAGCCTAATGAGCCTCCAGTTAGTTATGATTCAATGTCTAGGTTGGGTGGAACTTCCTTTCTGTACAGAACTGTTCTGTGTTTATATCTTATGGCACACAGCTTAATAAGGAAAGTCCTCTCCACTCTGTATCTTGATTCGGTTTTAATTATCAGAACACTGCAATCAATCCAGGAATGAGTTTTACATTACATAATTTTTGATGACCCATATCAAGATTATTTACTGTGCCATGATGAATTAACCTTTCTAATGCTGTATGTTCCAGTATATAAGGCTAAGGAACTGAATCTGTATAGATAAACAAAATTTACAGGACCCCCCTGTACTTTCCATGGTTTTGGGTAATTATTTTTCAATTTCATGAAGATGCAATATACAGTATACTATAGTACAATACTGTACTGTACTTATGTTGTACAATAACTTTTTTGGCTGTTGAAGAAGTTTGCTTTTCCTCATAGAAGACTTGCTGATATATTTTAAATTACTATTTTCAATTTTAACCCCTTGTGTACGGAGCCACCTCCAAGCTGAATAAATTCACCTGTCATTGGACCAAATAAAACAATGAAAATGGCATCCCCTTAGTGAAGGGGTTAAGTTAGTTTGACACAAGTTTGTTGGTAATACAGTACAGTACAGTAGTGGAAGCTTGTGCTGTACTCTATCAGGTGTTCTGGTTCTTTGATTTCTTGGGATAAATTTAAGTAAATTTTTACTTTGTACAGGGCATAGTATAATTATTTTAGCTCATTTTCAGAATTTTAATAACATGTGTTCCAAAATTCTTTTTGTGTGCTGCACCCCTTCCCTTTTATTCATAAATACTGCATACCCTGTACTAGTTTTTAAAAGTTATTAGTGAAGGACTGATAAATTCATGTATTAACTTTATAATAATAGTGGTCACTACATAGGGAACTTCCCTTAACAGGATTTTATAATGAAGTCTTATCAGTTCAACACCATACATATTCTGATTGGGCATATTTTAATACTGTACTGTATACAGTTTGTGCACATTCCATTAGTTGTTTCCATATTCCACAGTTCATGTGCATACAGTACATGACCTGATGTAAGCTAAGCTTTAATAATGAAACAGCTTACTTGAGTTCTGGAAAGTGGAGTACTATTGTATGATTTGTTTGTACTAAATTACCTCTTTATCCATGGCTTATTCATGCTTATCTTTATCCATGACTTATTCTTAATGAGCTTTATCCATGGCTTAATCATACTGATCTTGCACTATTAAATATTCAAATAATTTCATTTGAATTTTTATTCCATTGTTCTTGTTATGTTTTTGTTTTAGGTGCTTCAACTGCTGAAGTTATTTGCACCAGTAATTGTTACTTGCTCTGGTCGGCTTTTCTTTGGCTGTAATGAGGACTTGGTGAGTGAAAATCAGATTTCACGAGGTCCTAGTTATTCAGTGATCCTACCATATCATTGTAAAGTTCTAAATACAGTAAAAGCTCTTTGGGAATAGAAGAATATTCTATGCATTTAAGGTTATTTTTGGTAAAGCGTCAACAAGTAATAGCACAGGTCTGAGGAGATTAACTCATGAATGTTAAATACTTTACATATCAGACTGTTAGAAGAAGCTACTGGGTCACCGTATGTTACCATTTTCTCCAGCCACGTAAAGTCGACCTTGGAATTGTCTCTTGATGTCTCATGATATATAATGACACATGTAATTATTCACCTTTGATCACATGGTAACAGTTTCCTCATAGTGTTGGGTGACACTTGTCAAAATGATCTTTCATCTTCCAGATTATTTGTGAAGTTTTACCTTTAATGCTTGAGAAAACAGTAAAATTGTTCTAAGGTTAAAAATTGCAGTTAACTTGACTTTGTCTGTAAGCTGTTGTTCCTTGTATAATTATCTTTATCTGTTTCTATATTTGTGTGTGTGAGTTACTCATGATGGTGAAGTGTGTAATGAGTTAATGAACCTTGCAACACTCAAGGTTGCTGCCTCTTGTCATATTTCTATTGTTTTGATGTGTATGTTATTTGTCATTCTCATTAAAATGTTATTCTCTGTATTTTTTATCTTTATTATCCATTTAATATATCAGTGCCATGAAAATGCACACAATAATACAATGGTGATTTTATTTTATTTTATTTGGAGATACGATTTCACAAAAATGCAAATTTTTTCTAAAGGTGGTACAGTTATGGTACAGGCTACAGTGAAGAAATCCTTGCTAAGACTGAGGAAGTAGCCGATAGATTGGAGGTGGTTGCAAAGAGGAGTTATGCTGAGGCCTTAACACGACCACAGGAGGTGACGGAGAGTAATGCAGGCTCAGAACAGGTTCTACAGCAGCTTGGGACTCTGAAGAAGTGCGTCGAAGAAGTGGCAATTAGCGGACTTACTGTTAGGGGAGAGGAGGAACAACGGGGCCCAGGCAGTGGCAATGGCGCCCCCAGGGGCTGTCACAAAGCGACGGCGCTCCCAGGGGCATGATCGTGATGTCGATATTGCATACTTCCAGCAATCCCATGGTGTTGGTGCCTCCTGGGCCAGTGCGCACCCTCCCTGGGGTGGTGGCGCCCCCAGGGGCTGTCACAAAGCGACGGCGCTCCCAGGGGCATGATCGTGATGTCGATATTGCATACTTCCAGCAATCCCTTACTTAACTGTGATTGGTGGATTAAAATAAAAAATGCACCAAATTCTAGCCAATAGGAGAACAGACCAGCCAGTCAACACAACACCCCAACTTATGTTTCCCTGTTTGATATGTATTCACCTTTTCATTGCTCAGGATGTGATAACACTGGAAATGCGATGGGTGGTGTATATATTTAACTTCATATCTCTCAGAGTTCTAAATAGTGAAAACTAACTGTCGCCAGGGGACCTCACAGGTAAGGGCGCTCCTAGCGGTCCTCCTTATGGTCAGCAGTGCCACCAGTGGCTTTACCAAGGACGGTGGCGGCGCCAGGGGACCTTCCAGTGGCGGTGTCTCCAGGGGTCATTCTAGGGAATGAGGGGGCCCTCTTAGAGGCCATGGCACCGCCAGGCGTTCTTCCAGGAGCGGTGGCGTCCCCAGGGGCCCTCCCAGGCAAAGCTGCTCCCATAGGAGCCCTCCCAAGGGCAGCTCCTCCCTTGGGGACCTTTTCAGTGGCGGCAAAGCCTCCAGGGGCCCTCCCTGGGGCCTCAGCGACCCTAGGAGCTCTCTCAGGGGCGTTGGTGCCTCCAGAGGCCTTTCCAGGGGCGGTGGCGCCCCCAGGGGCCCTCCCAGGGGACTTGCTCCCCCAAGGGCCCTCCCAAGGGCAGCTCCTCCCTCAGGGACCCTTCCAGTGGCAGCAAAGCCTCAAGGCCCGCCCCTGGGTCTCAGCGACCCTAGGAGCTCTCCCAGGGGCGTTGGTGCCTCCAGAGGCCTTTCCAGGGGTAATGGCACCGCAAGGGACCCTCCCTGAGGCGGTGGTACCCCAAGGGGCCCTGCCAGGGGCAATGGCGCCCCCAGGGCTCTCATTGGGGCGGTGGCGCCGCCAGGGGACATTCCAGTGGCGGTGCCCCCAGGGGTCATTCTAGGGACAGCAGGATCTCCCAGAGGTGTGACACATACAGGAGTTCTCCCAGCAGCGGTGGTGCCCCAGGGGCCCTCCCAGGAAGAGTTACGCTCCCAGGGGACCTGAGCCTCCAGGGGCCCTTTCAAGGGCAGCTGCTTCCTCATGGACTCTTCCAGTGGCGGAAAATCCCCCAGGTGCCCTTCCTGGGGCTTCAGAAGTCTTAGGAGCTCTCCCAGGGGTGATGGTGCCTCCTGGGCCTTTTGAGGGGTGGTGGTGCCCCAAGGGACCCTCCCTGATGCAGTGGCACCCCAAGGGGCCCGGCCAGGGGCAATGGCGCTCCCATTGGCCGTCACAAAGAGACGGCGCTCCCAGGGGCTTGATCGTGATGTCGTTGATATTCATACGTCCAGCAATCCCTTACTTAACTGTGATTGGTGGATTAAAATAAAAAATGCACCAAATTCTAGCCAATAGGAGAGCAGACCAGCCAGTCAACACAACACCCCAACTTATGTTTCCCTGTTGGATATGTATTCACCTTTTCATTGCTCAGGATGTGATAACACAGGAAATGCGATGGGTGGTGTATATATTTAACTTCATATCTCTCAGAGTTCTAATTAGTGAAAACTATCTGCTGCCAGGGGACCTCCCAGAGGCAAAGGGTCACTTAGGGGTCCTCCTTAAGGTCAGCAGTGCCACCAGAAGCCTTACCAGGGACGGTGGCGCCGCCAGGGGACCTTCCAGTGGCGGTGTCTCCAGGGGTCATTCTAGGGAATGCGGGGGCCCTCCTAGAGGCCATGGCACCGCCAGGCGTTCTCCCAGGAGCGGTGGCGCACACTGGGGCCCTCCCAGGAGCCCTCCCAGAGGTAGATGTTCCCCAGCGGCCCTCCCAAGAGCAGCTCCACCCTCAGGGACTGTTCCAGTGGCGGCAAAGCCTCCTGGGGCCCTCCCTGGGGCCTCAGCGACCCGAGGAGCTCTCAATGTGGCGTTGGGGCCTCCAGAGACCTTTTCAGGGGCGGTGGTGCTCCCAGGCACCCTCCCTGGGGCGGTGGCAACCCAAGGGGCCCTACCAGGGGCAATGGCGCCACCAGGGGCCCTCACAAAGCGACGGTACTCCATGGGGCTTGATCGTGATGTCGTTCATATTGCATACATCCAGCAATCCCTTACTTAACAGTGATTGGCGGATTTAAAGAAAATGCACCAAATTACAGCCAATAGGAGAACAGACCAGCCAGTCAGCACAACACCCCAACTTATGTTTTCCTGTTGGATATTTATTCACCATTTCATTGTTCAGGATGCAATCATACTGGAAATGCGATGGGCGCTGTAATTATTTTACGTCATATGTCTCACAGTTCTAATTAGTGACAAACCAACTGCCGCCAGGGGACCCCCCAGAGCCAACTTTGTTCATAGCGATCTTCCTTAAGGTCAGCATTGCCACCTGATGCTCTCCCAGGGGCGGTGACACCGCCAGCAGACATTCCAGTGGCAGTGCCCCCAGGGGTCATCCTAGGAGCAGCGGGGATCTCCAAGAGGCGATGGCACATCTAGGAGTTCTCCCAGCAGTGGTGGTGCCCCAGGGGCTAGAATTTGGTGCATTTTTTATTTTAATCCACCAATCACAGTTAAGTAAGGGATTGCTGGACGTATGCAATATGAACGACATCACGATCAAGCCCCTGGGAACGTTGTCGCTTTGTGACGGCCCCTGGTGGCGCCATTGCCCCTAGCAGGGCCCCTTGGGGTGCCATCGCCCCAGGGAGGGTCCCTGGGGGCGCCACCACCCCTGAAAAGGCCCAAGAGGCACCAACACCCCTGTGAGAGCTCGTAAGACTGCTGAGGCCCCAGGGAGGGCCAGTGGGGGCTTTTCCGCCACTGGAAGAGTCCATAAGGGAGCAGCTGCCCTTGGATGGGCCCCTGGGGGGCAACTCTTCCTGGGAGGGTCCCTGGGGCACCACCGCTGCTGGGAGAACGCCTGGATGTGCCACTCCTCTTGGAGATCCCGCTGTCATTAGGATGACCCCTGGGGGCACCGCAACTGGAATGTCCCCTGGCGGCGCCACCGCCTCTGGGAGAGCATCAGGTGGCAATGCTGATCTTAAGGAAGATCGCTATGAGCAACATTGGCTCTGGGAGGTCCCCTGGTGACAGATGGTTTTACACTAATTTGAACTCTGAGAGATATGACATTAAATAAATAAACCACCAGTCACATTTCGAGTGTGATCACATCCTGAACAATGAAATGGTGAATAAATAAATATCCAACAGGAAAACATAAGTTGGGGTGTTGTGCTGACTGGCTGGTCTAGCCCCATTAATGTAATTTAGTATTTTTAAATCACAATCAATATAAGTAAGTGACTGCTGGATGCATGCACATGCATCACGATTCTGCCCCTGGAGTGCTATCACTTGGGCCAGCCCTCCCCTGAGGGAGCCACGCCCCGGCTGGGCCCCCTTGCCACCACACTAGAGGTCCCTGGGCGCCACCACCGGAGTGCTCCCCAGGCACTCCAACGCCCTGGGAGATTTCCTAGGTCGTTGAGGCCCCAGGAGAACCCTTTTTTGAGGCTTTCCTGCCACTGCAACGGTCGCGAAGGGAGGAGCTGTCTTTGGAGGGCCCTGGGGGGAGCAGGACGGCCTGAGTTCTGCATGCCAATCAGCCTGGAAGAAGAACGTTTCAAGGTGCCATAGCTCTAGGGAGGGACCCCTGCATCTTTAGAAGGACCCTGAGACACCACCACTGAAGGTCCTCATGAAGCCACCGTCCCTGTAGAGACCTGTACCATGACCTTAAGGAGGACCTCTAGGTGCATTTGCTCTGGAGGTCCCCTGGGCAGCAGATAGTTTCACTATTTAGTAACCTATATATGCTAAATACACCAATTCATCGCAATTCCAGTGTTATCACATCCTGAGCAATGAAAAGGTGAATGGGTTACATCCAACAGGGAAACATAAGGTACAGCTGACTGGCTATCGTTCTATTGGCTGTACTTGGTGCATTCTTATTTTAAATCCACAATCATGATAAGTAAGGGATTGCTGACGAGTGAATATCAACGACATCACGATCAAGCCTGGGAGCAGCCACAAGCGAGATGGCCCCTAGCCCCACACCTCGGCAGGGTTCTTGGTGCCATTTCCAGGAGGGTCCCCTGGGGCCAACACTCCCTGAAAGGCCCAGGAGGCACCAACACCCTGGGAGAGCCTTGAGACTGCTGAGACCCAGAGGGTCATCAGCTTTTTCCGCCACTGGAAGAGCCCATGAGGAGCTGCCCTGGATGGCCCCTGGAGCACGTCCTCTCCTAGGGCCCAAGACCACCGCTGTTGGGGAGAACGCCTGATGTGCCAATTCTTGGAGATCCCGCTGTCATTAGGGATACCCTGGGGGGCACCGTAATTGAATGTCTCGGCGGTGCTACACTGCCCTGGGGAGAGTGACTAGGTAATGCTGATCTAGAAGACTGCCATATAAATGGGTTCTGGGAGGTGCCCTGGTGACAGATGGTAGGTTTACACTAATTTGAACTCTGAGAGACACATGACACAATAAACCACCCATCACATTTGTGATCACATCCTGAACAATGAAATGGTGAATAAATAAATATCCAAGCCAGTGGTTCATACAAAAGCAGTTGACTGTCATCTGTTCTGTCAATACCAGTATTTTCCTTTTTAATCCTCCAATCACAGTTGGTGGTATTGCTGGACGAAGCACTTTGCTAACATCACGATTTCCAAGCTTCTGGAAACGCTGTCTCCTGGGAGAAGCCCCCCTGCGAACGTTGTCGCTTGGGATGTCTCCTGGGGCCGCCATCGCCCCTGGCTCTCCACCCTTTGGGTGCCACCGCCCTGAAAGGCCTCTGAGGCACCACCACCCCTGGGAGTTCCTAGTCGCTGAGACCGCAGGAGGGCCCCTGAGGCCAGGCCGCCACTGAAGGGTCCGTGGAGGGGAGGACTGCTCTTGAGGGCCCCAAAGGCCCACTGCTCCCAAGATCGCCATGGTGCCACGCCTCTTGAGGGGCCCCTCCGTCTCTGAATGACCCCTGACACACCTCCACGGTGAAATTTTATGGCGCTCTAGGACTTCCTTTGTAGGCAAATGAAAGGGCCCAGCCGGCGAAGTGATGGCAATTCCTCAGGCTGGCTCCAGAGCGAAGCGGCAATTCTAGGCCGATCGTGATGTCGTACATATTGCATACATCCAGCAATTCCGCTTAACTGTGATTGCCATCGAAGAAAGCAAACACAGCCAATAGGAGAACAGACCAGCCAGTCAGCACAACACCTTCAACTTATGTTTTCCTGTTGGATATTTATTCACCATTTCCATTGTTCATGTATGCAAATTGCGTCGAAAAATGCGAGGGCTGTATTTATTTTACGCTATGCCCCATGTCTCACTAGTGAAACCAACTGCCGCCAGGGACCTCCAGACAACGTTGTTTGCAGCACCTTCCTATATCAGCATTGCCACCTTTGATGCTTCAGGCGGTGATACCGCCAGCAGACATTCCAGGCAGTGTTTCAGGTCATCCTCGGAGCAGCGATTCTAAGAGGTGATGCAAGTAACACTAGTGAGCCTCCCAGCAGTGTGCCCCAGGCTGAATCATGCATTTTATTAACCACCAATCACAGTTAAGGGATTGCTGATCGTATGCAATATGAACTATTATCAATGATCAAGCACCTGGGAATGTCGCCTCAGACGGCCTCAGGCGCATTGTCCCTAGTTAGGGTCTCTGGGGTGCCATCGCCCCAGGGAGGGGTCCCCTGGGGCACCACCACCCCTGAAAGGCCAGCCCAGGAGGCACCACACCCCTGGGAGAGCTCCAAGACTGCTGAAACCCAGGGTGGGCCCCTGGGGGCTTTTCTGCCACTGAAGAGTCCATATGACAGCTGCTCTTGGATGGCCCCTGGGGGCAACCTCTCCTGGGAGGGTCCCTGGGGCACCACCGCTGCTGGGAGAACGCCTGGATGTGCCACTCTGGAGATCCCGCT